ACCATGCTGGAAAGCCCACACCCTGGGAACAAAATTCCAAGGAAATTGAGTGACATAGGTCATGAGTCTACCCTCTGAAAAATCAGGAGAGACCCAGGCTCTTCAGAAATGGAAGACTATTGTCAGAAAGATGGCAAATACTCAGGAAGCTACAGTCCTTGTTTCTCAGATATGGAAGTCTTTGAAGTTCACTCACAAGTTTTGCAGTTTTCTTCGGCTCAGTGAAACAGATGTGTTGTGTGCCTGCTCTCACACTTCCCACAGGAAGGCAGGACACCTAGGCTGAGAGATCTCTGTGATGGAAGCATTCTGTCTCTCTGTGTTCCCTAAAACTCAGTGTGTGGTCCTTCAGCCCAGCACAGAGACTCATCACCCTATCATGGTAGTCAGAAGCCTGGACTTTCCTAAACTGCAGCACTTTTAGAATGTGGTGCTGGCTGCAAGGGAATATAAATAAAAGATAAAAATATCTATCTGGGTTCCCTGAGGGACAAGCCTGACTGCATAGGGGTTGATGTCAAAAGTATCCCCTCTCCAGGAAAAAGACATCGGGACGGGTATGGCCCTCATGCCTCACTGGACAACAACAGGGGGACTGGCGCCATTACAAGATCCCCTTCAAATACTGGAGGTCAGGCCTCTATCCCCGCCTTCGCAAGTTTAGAATTGCTACAGCCCTTCTATACTTAAAGAAGGGAGGAGATGTCAGGGGCATCCCTGCTTACACGCTGTAGGCCTAAAATCAGCCATAGGCCTAAAATCAGCAATAGGCCTGTCATACATGTATACTAACACCAAATCTTAGGTCTCAGTGGAAAAACACTGAAACAGATGGCTATAAGCTAATGTCAACAGGCAGCTTTTGTGGAAATTTATAAGCCTGAGTAGTCATAGACCTTGTAAATAGGTAGCCTTGGCAGACAATACCAATTTAGATAAGGACAAGCTAGTCATACGCAGAGTCATAGTGAATTGTCCCCTGAACCTTCACCTAGCAGATACCCAGTTCTGAAGATATCTGTATTCCCCCTGAACACCCACACTCCAGTGTCATCCCCTTCCCCACATCCTGCCTTTCTGTGTTTATAACCCCTATGTGAATTAATTATGATTTGAGGGCGAAAAAAGCACCTGATTTTGCTAATAAAAAAAAAATAATAATGTGGTGCTGGATCACATCCTTGAGGCAGCTAGACCTCTCACACCTGAAGCCCACTTTCTATGTTCCCCAAGCCTCCTGCTGTCAGCTATATACAATGTAACAAGCCTCCCAGAGTGATTTCTCGGGAAGATGGCTAGTGCAGAGGCTGCTTGAGCTTTAAAGTGATACCTAAGGGAGCTTGGTTAGTATGAGAGGCCATGAAGGCACATCCTACGTATGCACAAGGGTGGGATGCTGACATAGTGTCACTCAGCATGTCCTGTGCCTGCATAGGATCTGCCCAAGACAGCATATGGGCTGAATGCATAGGTAAACTGAATAACAGAGCTGTGGAAGGACACTTTCCATCTCTGCTTTTTGCTTGCTTTTATGGATGCTGTATACCCAGATTATCAATGCTACTGTAGCGATTCTGGTAGAATACTCCAACCATGTCCTCACAAAAGGGCATTCAGGATACACAGGAACTAAGTATCCAGCTCAGCTTCCCCATGAAGGCATCCAGGCAGCAATGTCAGACTTCACAGGGCTCAGCACACTCTGCCTGTCCAATGGAATTATAGGGAGCCATTGAGTTGGTCCCTTTGTGCTTCGATCATGGTCACCTGCCAGACACTAGGTTTCTAAGTAAGGTGTCTATCTGAATACATTCCTCATAAACAACAGCTCCACAAGCCCCCTTTCACCCAGGCTGCACCCACAGTCTCTTACTGATTGTTGCTAGTCCGTTGCATCAGATACCACCTAGGCATTCTCCAACAGGATTTCTTCCTGAGGTGGTAAGCCAAGGATTGGGGTTTAATCCAGCTGGAGTAGAAATACATCTGACTATCCTAAGAGACCCCAAAAATGTACACTTTTCTGATTTTTCCAGTGAGGAGACATGAATAGAAACATAGAAAGTAAATTACAAAGCAGAGATGTCCCCTCCCATACCTGCTTACCCTTTATTGTGTTCTGCCTCCTGCCTCTTTCAGGGGAGCCACTTCCTTGGAGGATGTATCCTGGGTCTTTTTCTTTCGAGCACAGGGGAAACAGCAAAGCCTTGATAGGCACGCCCTGATTCTCTTAGTGACTCTCTTAAAGCGCCCGGTCTTCTTAGGAGGCGATGGTGTTTTTATGTCAAAATCTTGCTCAGGTGGCACATTCAATTCATCCTCCTCTATGATGTTACAGACACTTGGGGCAGCCACAGCTCCGTAATAGAGGGCACAGGTGGAAGTGCTGCTGGTCTTATTCTCTGAATATTCTAGAGAAATGGGAGGCATGGAGACACTTCTGGCCACATTGTGTTGAGATCGTGTCAGGGCAACAGGCACTTGCTTTCTTGAGGGCTGGATGTGGAGGAGGCTAAAGTTGGGCTCACTGGCCCTTTTCTTTAGGGGAAGCCCAGAGGTAGAGGGATGTGCTGGTGAAGGGGGTGGTATAGGGCACTGATCAGTTTCAAATGAAGCAGTAGAGGTATCCTCATGCCTCTTCTCTACCTGGGCTTTAATAATTAAATATGCCGCCATGGGTTCGTTGTATTTTTTGTTGTGGAGTGATTCTATAATCTCATTTGCATCAAATCCCATGCCACAGAGCCTGTCTATGATGTTGTAATCTGGATTGATCTCAGTTGGAATGTCTACCTCACACTTTATCACCCATGGATGTTTCTCAATGTTTTCTATGGAGGGCCTCATCTCTGGGGAAACTGTGAGCAATTGATGGATTAGGTTTTCTAGTTGCCCAGGGACATGAGATGGAATGTCATAGGTCCCTGTTGTGATCTTCTCTTCCACCTCCTTCACCGTTATTCCCCTGAAGGGGTAGTGTCCAATAGTAATAAAAAATAGTAGCACTCCCAAACTCCACACATCGGACTTCTTTCCATCATATTCCACCCTTAGTGCAATCTCTGGGGAAAAACAGCTCCTAGTCCCACAGTACCGATTTAGTAATGTGCCAGGTGTGCACTTGGTGGCCAGCCCAAAGTCTATCAGTTTTACATTACCCACCTCATCCCGGAGTACATTCTGTGGTTTTATATCAAGATGGACAATATCAAGGCTGTGGCAGTATTTTACAGCTGACACTACCTGCCCGAATATTTTCCTTGCCTCCTCCT